AAAGCAGAATAGCAAAGCCCAGGCTGTCCAGGCAGCTTCCCACTAACTCAAAGTGCTAGTTCCAGGAGGGCAGGGCCAGAGCGCAGGTGGTTCCGGGCAGCCCTCTGCATACCCCATGAGAGCTGTGGTTATTGCTGAGAACTGTGTGCCAGAAAGTGGGAAATCAGGCCAGCCTGAGGCCACCTGGACCTGCAGGGATGACAGGCCGACTGCTCTCATGGCCAGCTTCGAGCAGTTATCTGTGGGTATGAACTGTGCCTCAGCCCCAGCCACCAATTCCCGGACCTGACCAGACCCTGCTATCCTGACTTCCAGGAGGAAGCAGCTGGCCATTGTGGCGGCTGCCTGATCAGGATGTGCTGGGCTGTGCTCACTGTGGACTGTGGGGCAGGGTCCAGGCTCAGCTCCACATCCAGGCCTGCAAGCACAGGGAGGCCAGGTGCCTGAGTCCTGGGAGAGTGTAGTGTGAGGGGCCCAGGAGAAGCCATGGCTAAGGCCAAAGTGAGAAGAACCTCCCGCCAAACAGACGGCAGCCCTGTCCCATGTGACCAGAAGAATGCGTGCCTGTCTGCTGGGGGATGGTGACAGAGCCACCAGGGCAGCAGGGCCCTGGCCTGTGGATAAGGCCCACCTTGAAGAGGCTCAGGAGCACCGGGCCCCTGAAGGAACCCGCAGGAGGGCCTAGGTTAGTATGTGGGGTCCGTGAGCAGTTTTGGCCCTGGGGATCTATTGTCTCAGTGTCAGGTCTTCCTGATGGCCAGGGCCTGGACAGCTGTGCCTGTGCTGGGCCAAAAGGTCAGCTGGAGGGGTGGGGCTGAGTTTGGATGTCTCCAGAGGCCTTGCATGGCTTTGAGGCTTGGATTTTGATGTTGGAGTCAGAGTCCTAGGCCAGGAGAGGACGGGCCCAGGGCAGGGTACTCTGTGCTCCCCTCACCTCAGACCCAGGTGCCCCTGAAGTGCATGCATGACCACCATCTCTGGGGATCTGCCATGCTGGAGTCTCTGCTGCTGAGCGCCAGGGCTGTGGGTGGCACAGGGCTGGCCACAGCGACTGGTTCGTCTTGGGGACTGGTATTTAGAATCCACCCCACATCCTAGGGACAGTTGCAGGGGTGGGGCTGGACCCCCGGAGCCTCCTGGGTTTCACTCCATTGCTAGGCTTACCCAGGGCTGGGGCATGCTCTCAGGTCTGCTGTGCCACCTCTCCTGCTGTCTGTCCCACTACTGTCCTTCTCTCCTGCGCCTTGGGGAGACTGTGATGCTACACTCTGGAATGACACAGCATGTCCCGAGGTCATGTTTGGGACGCAGGAGTGTGAAAGGGATCTGGTCCTTTTACTTATACCCTCCTCTTCCCTGCAGAGATGCTGGAGGGGCCTCTGACCCCTGGGCTGAGTTCTGGCTCCGTGGTGTCCAGCATGGGACCCAGTCCATTTGTTGCCTTTGGAGCTTCGGTCTGGGCTCTTGAAGCTGTTGTTCGGGGCCTTCTTGCAGAGGGCTCTGACGAGCAGGGCTCTGCTCAGGGCCTCACTGCGATCCCTCCCAGGCCTGGAAACTGACGGGGACACTCCGGGTCATCCCATGGCACGTCCACATCCACATCTGCAGCTGCGTCTGTGTCCGCACCCTGCATAGGCACCAGCCGTGCATGGACAGCAGTCTAGCGCCGCGCGCCCTGGCTCTGGGTGTCCCATCTTGCTATCCAGCATTGAACATGAAGCGGCTTGGGCCGTGTCTGCCTTCAAGGGTGTGCGGCAGGAGCCGCCGCCTCCAACTAGATGCCTTTTCTCTGGTTATATTCTTGTCTCTCTTCTTTTTTTTGTACCAGGGATTGAACTGGGTTCTGATTTATTATTTTCAATGTTTAGCTCACAAATTTTAGTAGGCCATGTCTTCCCAATCGGTTCCCTTAGTCGTGTATACTTTACTTGAGGACATTAAAAACTTTAATGCCCGGTGTTAAAATGTTAGTGAATAAGTTGGTGTGGGCCACTTGTTGTGTGGCCACACATGGCTCTGTCCACTCCTCCGACCTGGCATGTGCTCCCCGGCAGGCAGCCTGGCCCTCATAGACCATGCCAGCTCAGTGTGATGAACAGGCCAGGATAATTGCTCGCCTCATGCTCTGCTTACTTAGAAATGGAAATTTAGTATCCTCAATTTTTTCTGGGTTCTGTTAATCAGAAGAAATGGAATATAATCAGATTTGTTAATTCGTTTCCGGGGACCCCTGCCTGGAGGTTTTGTCTCACACAGTGCCTGCAGAGGGCTCCGGTGGATGTGATTGACACCCTAATAAACACATTTCTGCCCCCACCCTGTGGTACTGCCAGCAGAAACATAGAACTTCAGATTCTTCCATCTGAAATACCAGTCCTGAGGGGGCTGCAGGGCCGACTGAGCTATAACCAAAATAGAGTAGGCCTTTTATATTTTAGGTCTTTTCCCCCTGAATATTCCTAATTTTTTCTCCGTGTGTGTGTGTGTGTGTGTGTGTGTGTATGTGTGTGTATGTGTACATTAGTAACCACAGCTCTCTAGTTTTGCTGGTGGCCTACACATTTGTAGGCCTGATTTAAGGGCCTTCACATCCATCAGGCAAAACCAGGGCCTTTGCCTGTGTGCTCCTCTGTCAGATCCACAGCCTCCAGGCGCCCCTGGGCCCTCCCAGCGGATGCAAGGCGGGGCCTGGAGCCTGTTCTCACAGAGATTGCAGGGGCGATCAGAGCCTGTCCATTCGCGTGGGGTGGGCTTTGGATGCCTTGTTTGTGATGCCCTTGGCCCCTCAGAGCTGTGAACCCTGTGATTACAGACATCCTTACTGTTTCTCCACATCAAATGGCTTCAGAGGTCATTTTAAATGCTCAGATGCCCAGCCTGAGTGGGGCTGTCTGTTGGCCAGCTCCAGCTGACCCAAAAGCTGTATTTACTTTGAGATCTGCATGCACGTGGGGAGGTCTTCGGGGACAGGAAAGAATGATCCTGCGTCATCCTTGGGCTACACAGGTTTGGGCACAGGCTGCTTGTGGTACCCTCTTTCTGCAGCAGAGACTTTGCTTCCTGGAGGCGTCTGTATCCAGTGCCCTAAATTCAGGGCATGGGGTGCTTTCTGGGCTGGGTTCCATCCTGTTCATGAGGCAGAGTCAGGGCTGGGCGACATGCAGGTGGGGGCATTTGTCCTCCTGGCTGCATTTGGGTTGTGGGCTTTGGCCCATCTCTGAGACAGGCACTCAGCTATAATGAGGTACAGGCATAGGAATGTCCCTGGCTTTCTGCACCCCCAGATGCCGAGCCCTGGTGACCCCGCTTATGCCCTGAGCAGGGTGCCAGGCACTGAGATCGTCATCAGGGACATGGTGTCCTGCACAGTGCACTGGGCCTGCTGTGAGCTTGGCTCTGCCTGAGAAGGGGTGGGGAGAGGCGGCTCTGTCCACTGATAACCAAGTGCTGTCTGAGGCTCCCCACTTTCCCGGACAGGGAACATCCAGAGGAACCAGCACCCAGCAGGAGAGTGGGGGTACCACGAAGCCGGCGTGGGATTTGAGGATGGCATCTGAGAAGCAAAGGGCAAGGCCTCCTTCCTCATTGCCAGGGAAGGTGCACCGTCTTGGGCCTGTCCCTGGGGAGGAGCTAGAGCTGAGCATCTCCTGTCTCCCACACACTGAAACAGTCTGGGTCCTGCTGTATCAGAGTGGCTTCAGGGTGGGGCATGGAGGCTCATGCTGGGTTTGGCAGGAGCCCAGGACATTGGCCCAGCTGTGGAGAGAAGGTGGCCGGGTCACACATGGAGGGGCTGGTATTGGTGCCCCTCGCATCCCCGCCAGCAGCATCTGCTAAGACATCAGCCTGCAGGCAGGATGGGGAGCTGTCTCCTGGTTCTACATGGGAGCAGCTGCTGGATGGACAGGTCTCTCCTCAGCCTCGCTGGAAAGTTCTAGGAAGGCTCATGTCCCTTGTGACCAAGGCCCTGCAGCCTAGGGAAAGCTAGAGAGGATGGGACAGGTGTGGCTGGGAAGGAAACTCACAGTGATGCAAAGAAGTTACTTTTTTTCTTTGGTACCGGGGATTGAACTCTGGTCCTTGTGCTTGCACGGCAGGTGGCGAAACCACTGAGCTAAATCCCTGGCCCTGAAGTTACATTTTAGAATTAGTTATAAAACAAGCTGAGGTGCACGCACTCACATGGCCACGTAAGTGTGTAATACTACTGCGAAATTTGTGCCCAGGTGTGGTTGGGTGCATTTCCCTCTCTGCGACTGTCTGTCGTCTGGGCTTCGTGACCTCCCACTGTGCTTCTCTTACTCCTCGAGTCTCAGGTCCAGGGGAAGGAGCCGTTGGTATCTGGTGCAGCAGGACCTCCATGTGGGGGCCCCACGCATGTTCAGCTGTGCCCAGCATGAAGCAAGGGGACCGTGGCCAGTAGGCTCCAGTGAGGAGGGCAAGGAGCCTGGATTTTGCTGAGAGTGTGGTATCACGAGACCCAGACCTGAACCCCTCGAGTCTGTGGTGATGGGAGCCCTGAATAGAGGCCCTGCCTGCACTGGGAGGCTGGACTGGAAGGGCTGAAAGGTTTCCAGAGAACAGGGCTGTCAGGCTGCTGTCTGTGCTTCTGCTTTTCAGTGGAGAATATACGGCCTTGCCCTGGGCCACTCCTTGGGTGGCCGTCTTTATCACTGCTGTTCAGATCTATGAATAAATAAAATTTTACCTAAGAGCTGTTTTGTCATCCTGCAGCCCCTGGGCCCTTCTCCTTACAGAGCCCCTTGTCTGTGTTGGATGAGGACCCGGGGTGAAGCACGGAGCCAAGCCTGAGCAGTGAGCCCTGGGAGTGGTGCATGCACCTCCGCCCTGGTTGTGTTCTGAGATGTTCTGCAGGAATCTGACGGGAGAGCTGGCTGCTGCTCAGGGCAGGAGGTTCCGGGCTGGAGATGTGGCCCAGCAGTGACCCTGTGTCCCCTCTGGTCAGCTCTCACTCACGCACCCGGCGTCTCTCTCCCCAGAGGTCCGACCCGCAGCTGCTGGCCCAGTTCTATTATGCTGACGAGGAGCTGAACCAGGTGGCCGCGGAGCTGGACAGCCTGGACGGGCGGAAGGACCCGCAGCGCTGCACGCTGCTCGTCAGCCAGTTCCGCTCCTGCCAGGTGAGCGGTGAGTGTGGGATGGAGTGGCCTGGCCCTGGTGACCCCTAGGCTCTGTCACCTGCTCACACCCACAGGGACCTCCTTGGGGACGGCCACAGAGGTGCTGGGGACAGCAGACCAAGGGGGCCAGCGGCTAGGGTGGGACAGCACTGGGTAGAGAGCTGGGCTACAGGTGCCAGGCAGCATGGGTCGCCCTGGGGACCTGGAGCTAGGAGGTGGTGTGGAAGGCTGGCAGGGGTCAGGTGCGCGGTCGTGTGTGCCATGCTGGTGGGGTGACGTGACCGCGCTCCGCACTGACTCATGGTGCCAGAGCTGCTGCTGCATAATCAACAGGGGCCCTGCAAGCTGCTGCTAAAAATATCTCAGCTGGCATCGTTTTCTTCCCATGCGCCAGACGCTCAGGGGCGTCTCCAGGACAGCAGAGGGATGGTGCAGTTTTGTCAAGTGATCATCAGGCAAGGTCTTCACATAGATCGGGACCAATTTCTGTATGTTTTGCCCACAAAGTCTTTTTTGTTTGTCTCATTATGCAGTCCAGGCTACCCTTGAACTTGCTAGATAGCCCAGGCTGGGCTTGAGCTTGAGATCCTTCTGTCTCAGCCTCCTGGGTGCTGGGATTATAGGCGTGTGCAAACACATCCGGTCCCCACTATGCCTGGTTCCCACAAGGGCTGTTGGAGCCTCTGTCCTGGGAGGGACATGTTCACCCAACAGGGAGCCCATCACTGCCCCTGTGCTCTTGGGTGTTTCACCCGCTCTGCCTCCCATACAGTGGCCACGCTGGAGGAGGGTTGGGAGCCTGGATTTTGCTCCAGTGCGGTTCAGGTCACGTCCTCCTCCACTTGGCCTGCCTCCAGGGGGCTTGCCCACGCCAGGGCCGTGCCTGTGGCCAGGGTGGCTTTCCTGGCTGGCTCGTCCTCCAGGCTTTGCTCTTTGCCATTTCAGCAGTGGCCTTACCCACAGCACCCGGGCCCCTGCAGGCCTGGCCTCCGTGTTCCCCAGAGCACATGTGAGGAACAGCTCCTGTCCTGCTGGAAGGAAGGACAGGCACGGTCACCTGTAGCATGGCTGTCGCCCCTTTCACCCGCGGCTGGGCGCTGGTGGTTGAACGGCGGTGCCGATGGCGGAGCTGTTCCGGGTGAGATCGGCTGAGAGTGGCGGCCCCTCTCGGGCCAGGTGCAGAGGGAGGGACGTCCTGGGAGACGTGCAGCGCGTAGCTCTGTGGGGACCCAGCCAGGACGTACATCTTTCCTGTCCCTGGGTCTGTCTAAGAGCCACCAGGACAAGGAGTCACCTGGTACCCTCTCTCTGCTGGGTCCTCCAGGGGAACTCCCTGGCCCCTCGCGTCTCTCCTGTGGTGCTCTGTCCTTTGAAACCTTGGTGCCTGGGCCTACTGGGTGCCTTCTCCTGTGCCAGCTGGGAGTCCCCTCTGTCGTGTGTTGGGTGGCTGCAGGACCTGCCCAGTTGTCTTTCTGGAAGTCCCAGCAGTGTTTGCCACTGCACACTCTGCATGAGGCACACTGTGGTAGCACTGGGGACTTAACTGTGCGTAAGACGAGACCCTGCCTGGGCAGCAGGGCCGTGGTGGACAGGCAGGGTGGACAGGGTGTCCAGCTCTGCCCTGGAAGCTGGCCAGCCCTGGCACACCGGGCCACCATGCTGAGCCTCAGACCCGTGATGCATCGCCCTTTCCTCGAAGTGCTGCCAGTGGAACCCGCTAGGCAAGCACTCTCCCACCAAGCTACGCCCCAGCCCCTTCATCTGTGGTCCCACGCCAGCCTCCTGAGTGGCTGGGCTTCCAGGTGTGCCTGGCTGATCCCCGACTCTAAATACTGGTTGGAATTTATTGAGCACTATTGGTATTATTGCCATTGTTTGCTCTTGAGTTTATGGAATTGTGAGAAAGGGACCTTCCTACTCAGGAACCTTTTAGAGAGAAATGACAGTAGTACCACTTCATGCCGGCTCAATCTTGTTGGGTTTTTTTGGTATCGGGGATCGAACTCAGGATCTTGCGCTTGCAAGGAAGGCGTCGGAACCACTGGGCTAAACCCCTGGCCCTTGTTGGTTTTTTTTTTTTTTTTTTTTTGTACCGGGGATGGAACTAGGACCTTGCGCTTGCAAGGCAGGCGCAGTGCCACTGAGCTAAATCCCCGGCCCTGGATCTTGTTTTTATTGTTTAACATTATTTCCTTATGCTGCAGACTTCGCTTCAGTGTTAGTGCACAGACTTCTTGTGCTAGAAAGATTATATCTCCCATTCATGGGGATTTCTCACATCTCTTTCCCAAGAATGAAACTCAGGTCTCAGAGGGTGGAGGGAGGGATGCTGAGATTCAGTCACCAAGGGTGAGAGAACCGTTTTGTGCCATCTTTCTGGAGCGTGGTTTGGCAGCCCCTAATCAGAGCCGGATGTGGTCCACACCCTGACTTTCTAAGTCCGATTATAGAAGTCAGTGGTCCTGAGGAAATTACCACCAGTTTAGAGTAGTGATGGCAGCATTATTCCCTGTGGAGAATTAGAAACACTGGGAGTGTCCCCAAGCAGAGGACGGGGCGACCTCGCACGGCCTCCAGTGAGAGTCATCTGACTTGGTCCCTCACTTGATGACAGCATCAGAGTACCAGGTCTGGTGCTCACAGGTCCCCGCTCCCACCAGGAGCAGGCCCTCGGGGGATGGGAATGGGAAGGAAATAGGCCCAGCCCACAGGATGTTTCCACCAAGGACATTTTCCCTGCCTTCACACTTTGCTATCGTTTCCTGACTTCCTATGATGAACACACAATAATTTTATATTTAAAAAATTTTAGAATATGTGCTGCTGAAGCAAGCACTATATTTAAAAAATTAAAGGAAAAATCTTTAAGTATGCAATGTTCTTGTCATCCTATGGGATCAAAGGTCGATGTTTAAAGAGTAGGACAATTTTAAAGGAAAGGAGGGGATGGGATTCAGGCTGCAGAACGGGCTGCTGCTGTGCTTTGTGTTCAGAGCAGCAGGAAGTAAAATAACTTTGAAGAGTCTTTAAAACAGCCTCACTGTGTACTGAGGCTTGGCATGGGCCAGGACGGAACCAAGAGTTTTATAAACTTTAGCTCCCTCCGTCCTCCAGACAGCTGAGACAGGGTTTCCATTCTGCAGACCAGGCCCCAGTGGTGGTAGAGCGTGTGGTTGTGGCCACGGTTGCACAGCCCTGGGGTTGAAGTCAGGGCCTCCCTGGTGGGAGAGGCAGCAGGGCCACTGCCTGGGTAACTGAGGGCAATGTGCCCCTGCCTCGTGCCCAGGAAGGCTTGCCAGAGGCATCACATGAAGACTCAGAGCGCTGAGGCAGCACTGTGTCCTAGAGAACACATTGGTGTTGCCCTGCTGCAGGCCGGGTTCTGGGAATGCAGGTAGGAGTCTCCCCAACTCTAGGCATCCTGGAGTGTTGGACTCTTTCCTAGTGAACAGCAAGCCCAGCTGTGTGCCTGGGTCACTGCCATGCATATTCCCCACAGGATTTGAGCGTCACCAGCCAGGTGTGGTGATGAGCATGGTGTCTCCTTTCTCTTTCAGGACAACGTGTTGAACATCATCAACCAGATCATGGATGAGTGCATCCCACAGGACCGCGCCCCCCGGGACTTCTGCGTTAAGTTCCCCGAGGAGATCCGGCACGACAACCTGGGCGGCCAGCTGTGGTTCGGGGCTGAGGTAGGGCCAGCACTTGGGTTCCTGGATTGCAGATGGCACATGAGGCCATGGTGCCCCTGGGAGGGCCAGGGAAGGTGTGAACCTGAGCCCCCAAGGCTGCGCGTGTGAGTGAAGGAAGCTTCCCATAGATTCTTAGGAGGTTCCTAGGCCCCCAGACATGCAGGACCGACATGTGGTTCTTAACAGCAGCAACACAGGGGTCGAGAACAGGAGTTCCAGCTGGGCATCGTGGTTCACACCTGTTATCCCAGCCACTCAGGAGGCTGAGGCAGGAAGATCAAAATCTCAAGCCTATCCTAGGCGACTTAGTGAGACCCTGTCTCAAAATAAAAGTTAAATTTAAAAAGAAAGGACTGGGTGAGCTGGGATTTGGCTCAGTGGCACCATACCTGCCTTGGAAGCACAAGGTCCTGAGTTCAATCCCCGGTAGCAAAATAAAACAACACAAAAAATGGACTGGGGATGCAGCTCAGTAGTAGAGTGCTTGGCTAGCACATGTGAGGCCCTGGATTCCATCCCTAGCACACACGCACGTGCACGTGTGCATGCACACACACACGCAGCGGTGTGACACAATGGTGACGGCATGGGGCGGCTCTGCTAGACCCTGTCTTGCCACATCTCCTGGCAGCTGGTCAGGGCTTTATCTTCATCTCCCAAGGAGAAAACTGAGGCATCGAGATCAGCTGCCGCACCCCTGCCTGAGGGCCGTCTCCCCAGCCCAGTGACATCCTGTAACTCCCTCAACCTCTCCTTGGCCGTAAGATTGAGACCCGGGCTGCAGGGCTCTGGCTGTGCCTGTCGTCTGGCTGTGCTCTGCCTCTGGCTGTGCCTGTCAACCGTCGGCCTCTGGCCCTCCTCGTCCTCCCTGCCCTCCTCTCCGTGGCTCCCCAGACCTGCCCACCCCAGCCCCGGTCTACCCGTCCCTCTGCCTACTTTGTTCCTCTGAACCTGCCGGCTGGGGCGTCCTCCCCCCAGTGTCTCCCTCTCTCCAGGGGCCCAGGGCAGAGGGCTGCTGTGAGGGGCTCCAGAGGAGGTAGCTGCTGCCCGCCGCTAGGCCGGGCTTGTGTGTGCAGGGTGCCATCTCCACGCGTGGTGTTCGGAGCTCCCTGCTGCCCTTGGGAATCTACCACCCTCTTGCTCAGCCACCCGGGAAGTCACTTCTTGTCCTGACTCAATGATAGAGATGGGCGGGTAACCACCCAGCCTGTGGACAGGAACCCATATCTCACAGAGTCTCCTGGAGCTGGCTGCACCCCACAGCCTAAGAACAGCTGGCGAAATTTTGTGCTTATGCCACACCCTGGAGCACAGCAGATGTAGGGGTTTGTGGATGCAGAGGGGCCACCTGACCTGCTGGGAGCCAAGGGCTATCAGGCCTCAGGGGTGGGTGTAAGGACCCTCAGGTGTCCGTGAGCCCTGAGCGCATCGACACACGGTGTCTGTGACTTGCCAGCCAGGCCCGCATGCTCGGGGGGCCAGGGCAGCCCTGCTGCATCACATGCCGGCCTCTGGGGACTTCTGACTCCGTGGCAGCCACCCTCAGGCAGGATTGGGAGGGAGCCTCATGGGGTCACATCATGGGGGCCTCGGCACAGAGCCCTGACCCACGAACCTCACGTCAGCCTCCCCTGCCTGGTCCTGCATGGTCCAGGTGGGGAGCATGTTGGTCACAGGAAGGGACATTGTCATTGCTCCCATGTTTGCTGGGGACTTAAGAGGAACCCTGGAGGGGACCAGAAGCGGGGACCACTGAGGCCTGGGGCACTGGACTGGGGCCCCTGAGAACATGGGCGCCCCTCAGCATGTTTTCTGCCCGCAGTGCCTGGCTGCCGGCTCCATCATCATGAACCGGGAGCTGGAGAGCATGGCCATGCGGCCACTGGCCAAGGAGCTGACTCGCAGCCTGGAGGATGTGCGGGGTGCCCTCCGAGACCAGGCGCTGCGTGACCTCAGCACCTACACAGAGAAGATGCGGGAGGCACTGAGGCGCTTCGACGTCCTGTTCGCCGAGTTTGAGCTCAGGTGACCTGGGTGGCCCTGGCAGGCCCTGAGTATAGGGAGTCGCGGCCTTCGCCCCGGACCTGGTGTGTCAGTTCTCGTAATTCCAGCTAGGGAATCCCACCATCCCAGGCCCACCTGTGATCCCAGTGCTCTGGGAGACTGAGGCAGGAGGACCCCAAGTTTGAGCTCAGCCTGGGCAACTTAGTGACTTAGTGAGACCCTGTCTCACAAGAAAAAAAAGGGGGTGCTGGTATGTAGCTCAGTACAAAGGGCCTGGGTTTAATCCTCAGTACTGGAAAAAACAAACAAACCCTAAAAACAAAACAAAAACTCAACAAACAAAATGAGAAAATACACGAGAGCCCCAAGCAGGGAGCAGCCTGCGGGGGCTCAGTGCCATCTGGTGGGGGTGAGGGCCTTCCAGAGAGAGACTGGGGAGAGGTGGCCTGTGGTCCTGAGGGTCAGGGCCCTTCGAGAGCCCCATGGCTTTGTGCACAGCTGGTACAGTGGGAATGGGTGGATGCAGCTAACAAAGCTGTGCGTCCTGTGTCTGCAGAGCCTAGAAGACCTCTGGAGTGGGTCTCTCTGGGAAACGAGAGCACAAACTGTTGGGTTTTACTTTCTTCTCTTCGGATTTTCTGAATAGGTTTTCATGGCAAGAAAAAATTAGTGTGGGGTTAGTAGGAAAGACATTCTCACCTGGGAGCAGCTGGGCAGGCCTCTCAACAGACACCAGTGCCGAGCTCTGACTCTGCCATGGCGGGGCACACGGGGCTGTCTAGCGCTCACATGCACACACTTGCACACTCGTCCCCTTGCTCACCCCTCAGGCTGGCACCAGGGAGGGGCGGCTGCCCAGTGGCAGGGATGGCTTGGGTAGGGGCCAGGCTGACACTCAGCAGGGCTGGGAGTCCGAGGTGGCCCTGGACCTGCCCTGCAGAAGCTTTGCTTTGAAACGTCACCCAAAGCTGGGAGCTGCGTTTGTGACGCTGAAGGTTAGGGTCTAAGAGCTCCTTTTTGGGAGGCGCAGGTGGCTTGGGGGCCTGATGCACCTTGCTGTGTCTGCAGCTATGTCTCGGCCATGGTGCCCGTGAAGTCCCCCAGGGAGTACTACGTGCAGCAGGAGGTCATCGTGCTGTTCTGCGAGACCGTGGAGAGGTGAGGACCAGCAAGGGGCAGCCTACTTGGGCCTTGTCCGAGGTGCCTGGCCTGCTGTTCTCCCTGCTGTTCCCTCTGCACAGGTGGCTGCGGGCAGGGCCTCCCCAGTGATCCCATCTGTTCCACCCTTTCTCTGGGCTGAGGGACAGTACTCCCAGGACTCGCATGACAGGAGGAAGGCTGGTGGGCTCGGCCCACGGGGCTACCGCCTGCCCTCTTCCCCCGCCTGTCCACTGCCCAGCTCCTCATGTCAGCCCACAAGGAGGCCCTCGCTGGGCTTCAGGCCTGTTGAACAGTTTCGGGGTAACTCATCAGTGTCATCAAAGTCAGGTTTTCTGAGTGGATGTTGGGGCCAAGTCTTCAAGTTGGGCATTTTCCCAGTTTGCTGTGGTGTTAGTAAGTTTTGAAATTGACCAGCATCACGTCCCAAGTTTGTTATTTTTCGAAGACAGACCGTTCACTGCTGATTCTTTGAGAGAGATTTTCAGTTGCTGGAAAATGAGATGACCGGAAGTACCTGCCTTTGATCTTGAAGTCACTATGGCAGCCACGCCTGTTCCCCAGGTGTGGAGAAAGCCACCTGCTACGTGGAAGGGGACATCAGCCCTGTTCCTCTGGAAGTGTCAGCTAGAGAAGAATTTTTGTCCCGTGTTTATTCTGGTGCTGGAAGTGCTCAGGTTTCCTGGTTAGACAAAGCTGCCGCCTAGCTGGCTCTGTGGGACATCCCCACTGTCTTGCACACCTCACCTGCTCCCCACACTCCCACTCCCTTCCTGGGACCGAGGTGGAGCAGGTGGCGGGACAGGTGCATGACTATACTTAACCACCTCTTCCAGAGCTGTCCGAACAGTGCAGCCTCTCCAACGTCAGCCTCCCATGGGTGAGGGGTGGGGATGCCCTTCTCCCGCCTCCCTGGGTCTAGCCCTGGAGGCACTGTTCACTCCCTTTCACCCCTGGCCAGGGCTCTGGACTGCGGGTACCTCACCCAGGACATGATTGACGACTACGAGCCAGCACTCATGTTCACCATCCCCCGGCTTGCCATCGTGTGGTGAGTGGCCCTCCTGCATATTCATAGCAGTCCTCTGTTCTGACTTCATTCCTTCCTCATCACTGAGACACAATACCTGACAGCCACAAGGTAAAGGAGGAGAGGTTAATTTTAGGTCACAGTTTGCAGAGGTTTTAGTCCATAGCCTGCTGGCTCCAAGGTGGGGCAGCCTGGCAGAGGGCATCACGGAGAAGAAACAGTCCATGGCAGGGCAGGCAGGAGGCAGCAGCTATCAGGGGAGGAGGAGGGACGTGTACCCTCCAGGCCACACCCACAGTGACCCTCCTCTTCCCACCAGGCTTCACCTCCCAACATCACACCCAGCTATAACCAGTTAGTGGACTAATCCAGTATCACTCACCCATGAGCCAGTCACCTCTCCAAAGCCCCACCTGCGGGCACATGAGGGTTCGGGAGGACATCCATATATAAGCCATAGCATGCCCCATCCCTCAGCTTTCCAGAGGAGTCACCAGGCAGGCCATTGGGCCTCCCCAGCAGATGAGAAGCGGAGTACCCACAGCATCCCCTGCTTAACTTTGTCTGGGAAGGAGGCAGCAAGATGGGCAGACCCTTGTCACTTGCCACGGGCAGGCACGATGCACAGCAGCTCACTCGTCAGACGCTGCCCTCCACACATGGCCGCTCGGGCTTGCCTGCAGGGCAGGGTGACATGCAGTGGCTCATAATGACAGGAGGACAAGGTGCCCCTGATTCCCAGTGGAGGGCATGGTAGGTTTGACTCTTTCTTGGCCTGGTGGGGAGGTGACTGCCAGGTGGGCTAGGGAGCTTGCTGAGAGGCTACCTGGCAGAGAGCCTTCCTGCTGGCAAGGGACAGTGGATCTAGAGAAAGCAGGGAGCTCACTGCCAGCTTTCATATACCCGAGGCCGGGAGTACTGAGGCACCTGCAAGCATTTCCAAGGCAGAGCCTAGGTATCTTGGGCTCTTCCCTTGTTGCTCGTTCCCTGACTCTGGACAGGGACCTGCCTCCTTGCTGCCAGGCAGTGGTCACTGAGGCTAGCCGGTGTGGAGGAGAGCTCAAGGGGGACCTCTGGCCTTGTGGCCAGGAAAGTGGCCCTGCAGGCAGCTGGCTCGCAGATGCGGAGCTGCCAGAGTGGGATGGGGAGTCCAGGGACAGACACCCACTGGAGGCGTGGATGTCTGGGATGTGGCCAGGGATGTGTGGTGGGCACCAAGGCCAGGATGGACCCAGGCCTGGTCACAGGGAGGAGGCCCGGGGCACAGGCACAGGTGGCAAGTGCTCGGCCAAGCAGCCCTTGCACGGGAGTGGGGGTGTGGGGGAGCGAACAGTGCTACCTGCACAAGAAGGAGCGCTCCCCCTGCACAGGGGCAGGTAGAGTTGGAAAGCGTCCAGCCACCCACCAGGCATCTGGCTGGCTGCCTTCCTCGGGTGCCTTCCTCGGACGTCCCGTCCCTGCAATGTCCTTTGGGCCTGGTTTAACTCTCAGTGCTTTTCTAGAATCTTCTAATGACTCGGTGCCCTGGCAGCTCCCCTCTTCCCCCTCTTTCATCAGAGCTTTGTCCACAGATCGACAGGGCTGGTCAGGTCCTGTTACATGGAGAGGGTAGAGGGGCACTTTAATCCCTTTGTTCATCTGTAGAGTATGGGAATCTCCCGTCTCCTGAGGGTGTGGAGCTGGAGGACTAGTGTCCCCCTGGCCAGCAGGAAGGGTCTTGGAGTGAGGGTCTTGGGGTGCAGGAGGAGCCCACCCTGGTGCACAGAGCCCCTTTGATGGCCTCGTGACTCCATCATGTGGTTTTCATCCCAGAAAAAGGCCTCAGTGTGGTCAAACTCATTTTGATGGAACTGATGAGCCTTTTGGGTCCTTACTTCTTCTCTTTGTTTAAAAAACAGAATAGCAGAACTCCTTGGAGCAGGGCCTTGTTTTGTCAGCAGGACAGGGTCTGGGAGTCTTCAGGGACCCTGCACCTGGGGGGACTGGATATGGCCTTGGGGAAGTGGGGGTCTGACTCTCTGACAAGCCCCCCGCAGGTGTCTGGAGGCACAGCATCCAGCACTCGCCTCACCCTTCGTGGACTGCTCTCCTCCAAGTCTGCAGCGCCTGCCTCTGTCCTGAGCTGTGGGCATCCACAGCAGCCACACTGACCCTCCCCGCTCTGCCTGCCGCCCTCCCTAGGCCCCAGCAGTTTTAAAATAACTGGTGGCGTCAGATGACCCAGGTGCACTGTGTTCCTGGTGTCGAACTGCGTGCTGCCCATGCTTTTTGGCTTTTTGTTTATTTTTTTGTGGGTTTTTTTCGGTACCAGGGATCGAACTCAGGACCTTGTGCTTGCGAGGCAGGCGGCAGAACCACTGAGCTAAATCCCCGGTCCTGCTTTTCGGCTCTTTATCGCCTCCCAACGCTGTCCGTGCCTGAGCACAGGCCACCTGGACAGAGGCGGTCCCCTTGACTGCATCATCATCACCCACAAAGACGTCCGTCCACATCCGCCACCCCTGTAATCACACACACGTCCCAGGGACACCACCGTGTCTGTTTCTGTAGGTTTGCCTGTCCGGGCCACTCATCAGTGGATTTGTATTATATGTACATCTCCCCACCAAAGCAGGGATGCTATCCTCCATTATTCACCAGGGTGCCCTTGGTGCGTGGGGTCTGGTAGCACAGGGCCTGCTGCAGAATTCTGTTCCATTGGTTGGATAGGGCATAAATGTGCATTTACAAAGATTGTTCCTAAAGCATTACTTGTAACCAAAAATTTGAGGGGGTGGATTCCAGAATTAAGGGATCGATTTAAAATGATAGCCCAGTGATGGCGACCCTTTTAGAGCTTTCAGTGATACAAAAGCCCGCTGTGGTACATGTGCCATAGGTTCAGCACCACTGTTTTAGCCATTAAAGCAATTTTAGAGAAAAATCCCCAATGTCATATAGAAACATCCCCAGGGTGTTAGGACAAAAAGTTGTTACCAAATAGTATGTATTTACTTTACAAAATTTAACCCGACAGATAAAACTTATGTGAACAGAAAGCTAAGCAACAAGCATTCTTTTATTATTGTGATAAAATATGCATAACAGTTTGCCATTTTAACTATCCAGAGTGTGCAGTTCAGTGTCGTTAGAACATTTGCCCTGTGTACCACCATCACGACCATTGTGGTCCGTCCTACACGGAAGCTGTTTCCATTAGACACTGACTTTCCTCTCTCACCTCTCCACCACATTACTTTCCATCTCTGTGAACTTGAATACTATAGGGACCTCCTTCAGGGGAAGCATACAGGATTTGTCCTTTTATGAATGAATTATTTCACTTGCTATAAGATCAGGGTTCACCTTTAGTACAGCAAATATCAGAATTTCCTTCCTTGTTAAAGGCCGAATAATATTCCACTGCATGTAATTAAATGCCATTTTAATATGAGATTTGCAGTAGTACTGAAAAGAATAAAATACCTAGGAATAAATGTAACCAAAGAGGAGAAAAGACATGGATGTTGAAAAAAATTAAAGATCTACTAAAATGGAAAGAAATCCCATGTTCATGGATTGAAAGACTTAATGTATTAGGATGGCAGCATTCCACAAAGTGATCAGCAGCTACTGAAATCCCTGTCAGAACCCCACTACCTCTCCTTACGTAACCAAGAAAGCTGTTCCTCAAATTCATATGGAACTGCAGTGGGCCCCGAATAGGCAAAACAATATTGAGAAAGAAAGACAATGTTGGAGGACCTTGATTTCAAAACCTACAAAGCAAAACAGTGTGGTCCTTGCCTTATGATACAGATAAAGACCAGTGGAGCAGAATTGAGAGGATGGAAATACACCCAAAAGCCTGTGACCCGCTGATCTTTGACAAGGTACCATTCAGTGGGGAAGGAGCATTCTAAATCCGCAAAGCTGGGACAGGAGGGCAGCCACTTCCAAAAGAGCAAAGCCGGGCCCCATGATGGTTAATTTTCTGTAAATTAACAGAAACTCAGCTGGGCCTTGGGAAGTGCATGTTAGGCCAAACACCAGTCAAGATGCTGCTGTGAAGGCATTTCAGGCTGAGGCTTACATGGATTGTGCCCTCTGAGCACAGCGAGTTAGGCTCATCCTGCGGTGGGTCTCATCCAGGCCATCTCAGGCCCTCAGAGGAAACGCAGTGAAGCCCCAGTGCAGGGGATTCTGTGGATGGCAAGGTCCCTCTTCTTGGGGCCCTAGCTTGCTGGTCTCCCTGCAGATCCTGGACTCACCAGCCCCACAGTCGCACGAACTAATTCCTTAAGTACATGCCCGTCACCCCCAAGTCTCTCTGTCACTTCAATTCAGGGAATAAATATTCATGTTCTTGGACTTGGCATGGATTCTTAGATTTGACACCACACACACTAGCAACAAAGTAAAAAAAATAAACTGGACTTCATCACAGTTGGCTTTTGTGTGTCAAGGATCCTGTTATCAAAGTGGAAAGACAACCTAAAGAGTGGAAGGAGATAATTGCAAATCATATGTCTGATAAATGCTTAATGTGCAGAACATATGAAGGATACTTACAACTCAACAGCAAAGAGCCAAGCAACCCAATTCAAAAACAGCAAAAAACTTGCATAGACATTTTTCTGAAGATACACAGTAGCTAATGAGCACATGAAAAGATGTTCAGCAGCATCATCGTAGGTCATTTAAAAAATGCAAGTCAAAGATGCACTACGACACCTCGGAGGTGCTGAGCTGGGTGTGAACAGACTGGTGGTGGGGGTAGTGAGAAGGTCAGGAGACGGGAAGCCACCATGCATTGCTGTGGGTGTCAGGTGGCCCCACGGCTGGGATGGTGCAGTGGGACAGCACTCTAGGAATATGTGTCCTTGTCGCAGCCTGACCTTCCTGCTGGCAGGGCCCGTGGACACCAGGCACAGCTGTCATAGCACACGAGGAACATAGCCATGTTTGGGTGTGACTTTTTTTCTCAGAGATAGCAGTTTATTTGGCGTAGTCCATGATTGAGAATATCTGACACTCCTCAGCCAACATTTCCTGCTTCTCTGTTACAACGTACTGGGTGCCCTGAGTATAGGTAATTCACGGTCTTCATTCCTTCCTCTATGCCTAGATTAAACAGGTTTCCCTGTTTAGTGCACACTTCACATGCACAGGCTTTCGGGAGAGAGGGTGACAGTGTTTACAACTCACCCTCTGAGCTAAAAGCACTTAATGTAAAAGATAAAGCAAGTAGGGTCACCCCACAGCTGTTTGTGAGTGTTCGGAGCATCGGACTTCAGCATACCGTCACTGGCCCACGTGGGATTCATCCTGACAGTGTAGAAGACACTAATTTCCTTGGAAAGACAAAGGGCAATATGACTAAGAAGGACTCATCCCCCACTCTTCTTTTTTTTTTTTTTGGTACTGGGGATCGAACTTGGGTCCTTGCGCTTGCGCAGCAGGTGGCGAAACCACTGAGCTAAATCCCCGGCCCTCTTTTCTAATAATACATAGAACTTTTACCTTACATGATTAGTATCACCCAAGTTTCACACATGGAAAAAAGTAGCTAAAAAATAATCTGTGATGCATTCTCACTATGCAGTCACAACAGAATCTGGTGTCACTCATAGAATCTGCAAGTTAGAGCCTCAGAGATGATGTTGTCCATCCCCTCGTTTGATAAATGGGAAACTGTCAAAGGCAGGTGATGTGCAGGACCCTGAGGTCTAACCGGGTGGCGGAGTCTGTGTAGGATGCAGGGACTCAGAGAGCCTAATTCATGGCTCTGTGGTTTCCCATTCCTCTTTAAAAGGCTCTCTAAAGATGCACCACACAATAAAGCACAGGAAGCGACATAGGGAAGGGATTTGCTCTCGCAACGGTAGGACTTCTCTGCGATTGTTCAGTGTTCTCCGGAAAACAAGTGCAGGCTGGAAATAGCTTCTTGGATTTGGGAAGGCTCTGCTTGACTGCGCCCGTGGTGGGCAGGCGGCTGCCGCACAGGGGAATCCCACATCCCATACAGAGCTATCGTATCGGGTAGCGCAGCAACACCTGTAGCAGTAGGACTTACGGCCCGTGTGGGATCCACCTTTCTACACCCGGGCTTTCCCAGAAGGGGGCCTTTTGGGTTGAGCGTTTCTTCAGTGGAATGATACATGGTGCAGCAGTCTGAAGCCCGCTCCACACCTTCCCCACTACGCTGAGAAAGCCCTGACCATTGGGAGGAAGGGCGTCGCCAGGTGCCGTTCCTTGGAAGCCCTCCTCTCCGGAGCTGGTCACAGGGAGGTCGCCTGCCGGAGGTTAGGGTTAGCGGTGATGTTGGTCTTTTGGCTGCAGTTTGTTGCCCCGGGGGAAAGAGTCTGTTGCGCAGGCGCCCTTGGCAGTTGTACTCCCACTCGGCCTCTGTGGGCAGCCGCTCATCGCAGGAGGGGCGGCCGGGTGTCTCCTTTGGCGCCTTGAGCAGGTAACCATCAGGGAGCGCCGCAACCTGTCAGTAGGCAGCAGGGTTCACAGACTGCTCCCGTTCAGCATCCTGACTTCATAGGCACCCACGTGAAAGGCATCAACAGCAGCTCACCCTGGGTTCCTCCCCTCCTGCTTTACCTGAGGGTCATCAGTGCTCGCCGTAAATGCTCCAGCAGGGGTGAGGAATGCCTTGGTGGACGCGTGTGGCCGCTCTCCAGAGCCCGGGCCTGGTGTTGGCCTGAGTATCGGTGCGCAGTCGCCGCGCTGCCTGGGCCGCGGGCCGAGCCACCGAGCGGTGCAGCATCCACGGGCGGCAGAGCGTGGGCGACCCATGACCTTGGTGTGACTTTTTTTTTAAAAAAAGGGTTATTTTCTGTTTTGGTACCGGGGGTCGAACTCCGGTCCTTGCGCTTGCGAGGTAAACGGCGGAACTGCTGAGCTAAATCTTTTGAATCTTCCTTTTACGCACGAGACCCAACCTTCGACATAGCGAAGGTCCTTGAGTTCTGATGTCCTTTCCCCAAGCCTGGCCGGAAGACCCCGTCACCTCTGCGGGGATGAGTGCCCTCCATTCACACACAAGCCCGCACAGCCCTGGTCTGGCGAGGGCGCGGATGGGCCTTCCCAGGGGACCCACGACACACAAGACCGGAGCAGCCCGGTACCCCGTGACCCAGGAGAAGCAGCCTGAAGGATGGCGGCTCAAGGAGAGAGGTCACCCGTGGCGGGTGGGAGCTCCCCCTGCAGGCGCTGAGCGGGGCTGCAAGTGCTCACGGGGCCAGTTGGAGGTGGCACCCAGAGGAGAGGCCTTCAGCAGGTGTTGAGCTGGATGCCAGCCTGGGGAGAGTGAGGAAAGAAAGCCCCAGGCTGGGGAGGGGTGCCCAGGAGGAGGGGCGGGTGTCCGCGCGAGACTGTGTTTTGCTTTTGGAGAGGACAGTTTCAGGTCATTCTCAGAAAGCTGCACATTGAAAGCCAAGTCCTCCACTCCCAGGAGGTGGTCTAACTAACAAATCTCTATGCCAGTGTGTCTGATGGCGACACTGATGCATGTGGATCTGTTCTTAGGATGATCTTATGGCTCCTCTTGTGAACACACGTCAATCAGCTTCAGAAGGTGGGAAAGTCTGGGAAAGATTGTTCCCATTGCCTTTTTCTGAGCTTCTGTAAGACCCAATCACAAGGGTGGGAGGGTGAAGCTGGAACTGGGAGGTGGGTCCACCACGTGGTCCCCATGCAAGTGTCGATTTGGAGGGGTCCCAGGCCCGCTCCCCGGGGGCCACAGGGTAACTGGGCTGGCTTGTATGTCTCTACTGCAGTGGCCTTGTGGTCTACGCAGATGGACCCCTGAACCTGGAGCGCAAGGTGGAGGACATGTCTGAGCTTTTCCGGCCCTTCCACACATTGCTTCGGAAAATCAGGTGGGGACCTGGTGGGGGAGGGCGTGGGAGGGGGGGGAGGGGGTGTGTGCTGAGTGGAGGCTTGAGCCTTTGGGAGTCTTCCCAGGCCGGGTAATACTCCTCCTGGGCCGTGCCTGATCGTGTGGTGGTCAAAACCAGCCGTGCAGGCCAGGGCTGTAGCTCAGCTGTAGACCTCTTGACCAACATGTGCAAGGCCCTGGGTTCAATCCCTTGAACCAAAAAAGCAAAACAAGACAAACCCTGTCTTGTTTTGCCCTGCCTGGGCCTCTCCTGCAGTGGGCAGCTCTTCAGTACTGAGCTTTAGCGGGTGACAGACTTCACACTGCCTGAAGTGCCCAGACAGCTTGGTGCTTGCCCTTTACCCAGCCCAGTCCCTGAAGTTTGCTTCCGTTTAGGTCACTGATGTGCAGATGTTGCTTTTTGTCTTTAATCTTTGTTTGTGTCCACACGCGTTGGAGCCCTTTGGAAACTCCACACCTTTCTGTGGCGTGGGTTGAGTTCTCTGCTCAGTGGCAGCCTCCTGCAAGGCTGGAGACAATGGAGAGTCTGGGACTGTGTCCTTGGGTGCATCCCTGGCCCCGAGGCCCCAGACACCATTCCCTGTCACAATCGCTGGTTTCCAGAAGCTCTCTCTCCCCTGTATGGTGGTGAAGCTGTTGACCCCCTGGGCTCCTGCAGTCCCCTCCCTGGATCCAGGGAAACGTCCTGAGGCCAGCCAGGGCCAGGATTCCCCTGAAAGCGCAGGACCCTGCCCCAGCCAGGGTACTGAGTCCAGACGGTCAGATGTGACCCAGGGGAGTCCTGGCAGGAGGTGCTTGGTAAGTCAGTGGGCAGGGAGTGTGCAGTTCAGTGCATGGTTCACCTAGGACGGTGGTGAACCTATGGCACGTGTGCCGCCGTGGGCTGTTTGTAGCATTGAAAGCTCTAAAAGGTTCTCCATCATTGATCTAGGAGATATCTGTGGGGAAGGTGACCCCTGGGGCAGAGGCCGAGGTCCTGCCCTGCCAGGGTGTCTGGTGGATGGGAGAGGAGACAACCATCAGTGGGGAGAGGCAGTGGGCGGTGCCGAGGCTGGGAAGGAAAGCAGAGTCCCAGCAGATGGGGTGGGAGCTGGGGATGCGGGGAAGGGAAAGGCGTCTTGTGGGACAGTGTGGACCTCAAGAGGCCACTCCTGTGGGTCATGCTTCCCTGCAGTGGGGTCTCAGGGGAAAGTCTGTCCTTGGTGTAGGTGGTGGAGAGGAAGATTGGGGCTCAGTGGCCTAGAAGCAGAATGTCCACAAGTGACCACGGGGTCTGGAGGTACCTCTGAGGAGAACAGGACACAGCCTCAGGAGGCTTACCGTTGAGAGAGACCCCTGTAGTATCTGAGAATCCAAAAGCCTTCTCCATCAAAGATGGGCCGTTTAAAAATCCCCAGATGTGTAGGGGAAGTGGGAGGGGTAGGGGAAAGGAAAAAATATGAGAAAAGGAAAAAATGGAAACAAAGTCTTTGTAAATGGCGGGGAGGGGTTGAAGGGAGGGCAGGAGAATGGGGAAAAAATAAGAACCAAGATAACATCGTGTACAGGTACAAGTTCCCAATGATGGATGTAACTGTATTGTACACCTAAAATGTACCAATAAACTTAATGGAAAAAACAAAGAGAATACTGAGAACCAAGCATTTATTTATGTTGGCTGGCCAAGAAAAATGATAGAAAAAACATTTTTTTAAAATCCCCAGATGTGCTGGGCATGGTGGCACACACCTGTAATCCCAGCCCCTCAGGAGGCTGAGAAACAAGGACCACAAGTTCAGTACCAGCTTGGGCAACTTAGCGAGACCGTATGTCAAAATAAACAATAAAAAGGGCTGGGGATGTAGCTCACTGGTAGAACCCTTGCCTGGTGTTTGAGGCCCTGGGTTTGATCCCAGTACTGCAAACAGACTAACAAGATATCCCAGATACCAGTAAGTATCCCTCCCGACCTATTATCTACCATAGGCATTGTAGACCAATCAAGACCTTGCATTTCCCCCATGGCCCTGCCTGGAAAGCTTTCATACAGGATGAGGCAGCCGTGGCCCAGGTGTACAGCCTGCCTGCCGCCCCACGAGCTGTTGCTTGTGTTTCCCATACGGAGATGGAGAGAACTCACAAGTGGGCTTGGCTACTCCAGGCACCGGGTCTGAGGGCCTATCTGTCACTGTGTCTTCTGTGGCCTGATGTTTCTTGTTTAAATTTTTTTTTTTGTACCGGGGATCAAACTTGGGTCCTTGTGCTTGCTAGGCAGGCGGCAAAATGTTTTTTGTTTAATTTTAAAAATTTGATTTTAATGTAATACAAATAGATATTAATAAAGAAAATGTATTTTTTAAAGTCTTCTTACTTCTATGAAAAAGTAAAGCAAAATTTCATGAAAATTAATTAAAGAATAGAATTGGTTAATACACTGGTACCCTAATCTTAAAAGAATGGTCAAAATGTTTGACTACAAATTACAGACAAAAAAAGACTCTTACAAAAAAGAAACAGATAATAACACAAAACTTTCTTTTCAATGAACTAAGAGGACCTAGTGGTATAAATGAAACAAATTAGCATATATATTGAAATACTTTTGAAACCAGAATATGTAATTTGGGGAATTATTAGAACTTCTCCCTACTTTTCTATTTCTGTTTTTTTTTTATGTTTTCTTTAACACTTAATAGAAACAAGGTACAATAGATTTTTACTGTATTTTACATAAGATAGGCACCACAGAAATTTATGTAAACTAGATGAAAGAAAGATAGTTAAAGAGGGCCCAGTCCTGTGGGATATTTTCTGAGAGCATGAAAGTCAGAGTCCAGTTGGGGAAAAGGGTTCAGACTGCCAGATTAAGTGGATGTTAAAAAAAAGCTAAGATAGGGCCAGGGATATAGCTCGGTAGTTCCAGCACCTGCCTCCCAAGCGCAAGGTCCTGAGTTTGATCCCTGGTACCAAAAAAAAAAAAAAAAAAAAAAAAAAAAAAGCTAAGATGCAGGCCTTTGTCTAGATAACCAAACACTGGGACCACCAATATTTCAAAGGCATCATTGGATTCAAAGATGTCTTTCCTGTTAGGCAAAGTCTCAAACATGCATTCAGTCCCAGACACAGGGATGACCTCTCCTCCTGGCACAGAATAGGAAGAAACCCACAACTTACGGACACTACTGACCCAGTCTCTGCAATTTTAGTCCTTATTTGCACTTTTGGTTTCTCACACCAGGGAACGTGGCACTCAGACGTGTGTCTGATTTATTTCACTTAGGGTTATGGTCTTAAGGTCCATCCATTTAACTATAAATGTCTGAAGCTCTTTCTTCTTTATGGCAGAGTAGTACCTCCATTGTGTTAAAAAAAAAACAACCCACATCTTCTTTATCCACTAATCAGTTGATGGGCATATGGGCTGTTTCCAGGATTTAGCTATTACAAACTGTGCTGCTATAAACATGTGTGTGCATATATCACTGTGGTATGATAGTATGATACTTTTTAATTCTTTCAAGAAGATACCAAGAAGAGGAATAGCTGGGTCAAATGGAACATCTAGTTTTAGTTTTTTGAGAAATCTCCACACTGATTTCCACAGTGGTTGCACCAGCCTACACTCCCACCAGCAGTGGAGCAGGGATCCTCTTTCCCCACAGCCCCCTCCCAGCATTTGTTATTGGTTGATTTCATGATAGCAGCCATTCTTTCTGGGGTGAGATGGAATCTCAGCATTATTTTAATTTGCATCTCTCAAGTGACCAGTGAAGTTGAACATTTTTTCATACATTTATTTTCTATTTCTACTTCTTCGTCTGAGAAATGTCTTTTCATTTCAGATCCCATTTTTGCATTGAGTCTTTAAATTTGGGGGGGGGTCTGATTTTTTTGAGTTCTTTATATATTCTAGATAATAGTCCTTTATCTGATGAATAGCTGATAAAATTTTTCTTCCCATGCTGTGGGTTTTCTCTTCACTCTGTTGGTGGTTTCTCTTACTGTGCAAAAGCTTTTTAATGAGATGAAGTCCCAGTTGATTCTTTGTAGTATTTCCTGTGCAGTCTGGGTTTTGTTTATGAAGTCTTTGCCTACTCCTATGTCTACCTGTTCTCTCTTCCAGCAGATTTAGTGTTTCTGTTTTAATATTTAGATCTTTGATGCATTTCTATTTTAGGTTAGCGCATGGTGAAAGATATGGGTCTAGTTTCAAGTTTTGGCATGTGGAAAGCCAGTTTTTCCAGCACCATTTATTAAAGAGGCTATCTTTCTTCCAGTGAAGGTATTTGGCTCCTTTGTCAAAGATAAGTTGGATGAGTGTGTCTGAAATTGTTTCTGCATCTTCTAGTCTGTTCCATTGATCTTCAGGTTTGTTCTTTTGCCAGTACCATGCTGTTTTTATCACAGCAGCTTTGTAGTATAATTTAAAACCAGGGATTGTGATACCCCCTGCCTTGCCTTTGTTGCCCAGAATTGCCTTTACCATTCTAGGTCTCTTCTGGTTCCAAATGAATTTTAGGATTATCTTTTTCTAATTCTGTGACATATGCTGTTGGAATTATGATTGGAATTGCATTAAATCTGTATAATAATTTTGGAAGTATGGCCATTTTCACTATATTGGTTCTTCCTATCCAAGAACAAGAGATATCGTTCCATTTTCTGATATCCTCTTTGATTTCCTTTTTCAGAGTACTGTAGTTCTCAATGTAGAGGTCTTTTACTTCCTTCATTAGATTGATTCCTAGGTATTTCATTTCTTGGGATGCTATTGTGAAACAGGTTGTTTCTCTAATTTTTCTCTCAGTGAGTTTGTTATTCTTGTACAGGAAGGCTATTGATTTTTGAGTGTTGTATCCAGCTACACCGCTGAATTTGGTTATCATATCTAGAAGTCTTCTGATGGAATTTTTGGGGCCTTCTTTGTAGAGCATCATGTCATCTGCAAATAATAATAATTTAACTTCTTCCTTTCCTATCCTTATTCCTTTTATTTCTTTC